TCAATGGAAGTAGTTCGCGACGAGTGATTAGGTTTAGAAGTCACAAGGAGTGGGGACTTAAATAGAGGTAGTTAAGGTCTAAAAGATTGACCCAATACCTATCTGAAAATGAGCACAACAGCTTTGATCAACATTGCCTTTTCCTATCATCATGGCTTTTCCCTTTGCACTTCTTTAATGGGAACTCAAAACTCAAGTGACCTTTCTTCTTGTCTTGCAACTAACATTCAATTTTTGTCAGGTCTTTCTGCATTTGTGCTTATTCTTCTCTTGAAAGACATTCTTTTGTGCAGCATTAGTCTTTTCAGATTACTATTTAAATCTCTTTTCAGCTTCTGGCTAAAGAAAGTGGTCAGATCAATCTTTATTTTTCCGAAGTGCCTAAAGAAAATGGTTATTATATTATTTACTATTCCACGTTAGTATTCCGGAATTCATATTATATTGATATTTTTTCTAATGCCATTTTCAGTATTTTTTCTTTTCCCGCGATTTCTTCTGCTTATTCATGCGCATGCGTTAACACTAAATCTCCACTCAAGCAGAAATCCTCAAAAACTACCCTCTCTGAATGGTTTCTTTATGTCACAGCAAACAGCTAGCAGAACTAGAAGAAGAATCAGGCTCGACTTGGCAATAGCTCCCTTTTCTTAGGCCTTGCCGCTGTGATCTTTTCTCTCGTTTCAGAAGCTAGGATTAGACTGAAGGGAGATAAAAGTTCAAACAGGACAACAAAATTGGTATTTAGATTATAGTTTCATCCGAAAATATAACCGTGTTACATGCTTAGCACCAGCAACCAAAGTAGCCCATATCATGAAGAAGCACTGATTGCAGTAAGTATATTGACAAGCAACAATCATGACAAATAAAAGGTTCATCAGCTAACATAATATAGAAGGTTAATAGTGGAAGCTGAAACGGGCAAAAGCGTGAACAGACTATTAGTTAATACCGTGTAATTTCATCATGCCACTGGGGCAATATAGGAGCTGGACATACAATTAGAGTGGCACCTGAGGGAACAGGAGATGAAGTAACTTGTAGCAGTTCGGAACACATCTGGCAAATATGTTCCCCCTCTCTAAGAATAATCTGCACTGCGTCTTTCTTTCTCTTTTTTAGATCTCCTTGTATATTTGAAGATTCTCTGGCTTTCTGAGCTCTTCCTCTAGGAGAATAACCAACACAATCTGCATGTTGCCAAGCATCGCAGATGTCACACTGTACCCATAATCCTTTATATTTACGACTTTCACTTACAGCTCCACATGCACACTCTACACACTCCCTTTTTAACCTTTTTAGACTAGCTTTGTGATCTGCAGTAACTGGAAGTAAATCATCCACAAGCACGCCATCTTCTGATTCTGATTTCTGATGGGAAAAGATGCAAGCAAGCAATTCAACAGTTTTCCCCATACCCATCTCATCTGTGAAGCCATAAATGACCACAATCAGAAAAAGTAGGGCACATTAATATTCAAGCACTGTGACGTTTAGAAAATAGAAAGTAAAACAGAATACAGGTAAAAGTGAATTCTTTAGTTCTCCCAGAGTACATCTTTCATCAAGTCCTCTAGAAAAGAAATTAGGGGGGGAAAAAAGAAAAATTTTTAACAACATCTGCCTTTATGAAATCCAAAAGGCTTGACTCATGCTTTAATAATCTGGCCCTTGACATACCAAGTTCTACTTAAGTCTGGGGAGCAGATCTAGATCTAATCATAGCATTAAGAATTTAGATATCTAACACTGTACCAGATACAAGATTAAATGATCTAGAAGCATCAACTTTCTTGAAAGACATTCAGTCTATTAAGAAGTTGACAACTCTAGTTCCATACAACATATAAAAAATTATATTTTTTGCACATATTTGCACCAAGAAGGCAGGACCTGGAATGATCATTTTCAAAAATCTAACATGGGAAAACAATAGACAGAACTTACCAGCAAGAATACCACCAAAGACAAAGGGTGAAGAATATTCTGGATTCAATGAAACACTTCCACTGAAAAAAAAATATTGTGCAAGAAATTAAGCATATGGATGGTGGGAGAGAGAGGAAGGTGCAACTCGCATTACCATAGACAATGCAGCTGACTTGTTACTAACTTACTATGATGAACATTAATGAAAAAATAATGCCGCAAATAACCTCCTTCCCAGTACCTGAATGGATTATAGAACATTTTTGAGGAAGAATCAAGAAAACCCACAGGGATACAAAGTGGAAAATGGAAATGGTTTCTTTGAATGTTGCTAAAGCTTCCCGAATCTCCTTTCTCTTGCTGTACCATCCAATAAGCTGCACGTCGCTGATATGGTCTTAGCACAGGGAGTAGGTCAGGTATGTCATCTTCAAGCAATGGATCTGTTCTGCACAGAAGATACACCAGTGACTCAGGTTCAAGGTTAAATCAGAAAATGCCAGTAGCCAGATAAGAACTCTACAAGGACTTAACATCTACTCACTTTGATGGCTTTATGGCTTCATAAAACTGAACAACATCAAATCTAGCACGTTTTCTGGAGTTTGCAGCCACGTCTTCTCTCTCTGGGTGCAAAACAAATTCTGTTTGAGTTGATTTAAGAACTCCATACCGTGCCTCAGAAGTCATAACCTCCGGGCGAAGCCAAGCCATGACATTCATCATACTCTTTTTCCATAGTTGTCTTGTGTTCTCAAGAAGTGACTCACAAGCATCAAACGCACTCTTAAGTATCTCAATTCTCATCCTAAGAGACGACATAATGTCTGAGAAATTGACCCCGGGGACTGGCCTCAGGGTCAAAAACTCTAAACTTACCAAGTGAACAAGACCTGTAACACCTTCATCTGGTCCATCAAAACTCCCGGACAAGATAGCCGGGTTGGTCTCTATGTCCTCCTTTGTGCCTTCATGTATGAATTCCAATGTTATGTCACTGGAAGATAAGACAGGCCAATGACCCAGCTTCATACGATCAACAAACTGGTTGGCATTGCGGACACAAATCCTTAAGGAATACTTATAGTCTTCATAAAGATTTTCATTCATTCCATAAGCACAAAATCCTTCTTTCAGGTTCAAATTACTCAGAACAACTTCAGATATATCAAGGTGCTGATCTGAAACCCAACCGCTCCTATATGCTTGGACATAAAATGCTTTATCAATGCCAACAATTCCCTCCTCTGGTAGTTCAGTTCCAGATGATTTATGTTCACCCAGTTTTAGTTCGGTAGTCTCGTCACTTTCTACAACTAAACCACCAGAACGATGTGGATGGGCTTGCTTCGTTCTACCCATTACTACGACCGAAATCAGAACCTTCCATAAATGCACAGCATAACACAAACAATATGAAGTATGCCGATCCAAGGAGATAGAGCTCAAAAGTCTTTTTATTTTCACATTT